TATTCTAGATGCAGGTTCTTCGTCAGATATATGTTTGGTGAATGTTGTCTCCCACTGTGTCTCCCACTATGGCTTGCATTCCTTTTCTCTGCCTTCTGATGAGAAAAAGCTGCTTTTTTTATTATCCCGCCCAATTTATAAATTTTTCTATAGCTGTTGCTCTCTGTGTTCTAAGAAATCTTGACCTCTAGGTGGTTCTCTTATGAAAGTTTATATTTAGCTGTGATTGTTAGACATAATGATTTACCTTAAGGTATTTTTTTTCTGTGAGGCGATGTTAGGGTAGAAGTGTATTTTTTTATTTCTTATAGATACCCATTTCTTCTAGCACCACTTGCTGAAATTAGATCAATTAGTATTGTTGGAAACCAGTTGCCAAATTATAAATCTGTTCCAGATCTGTGTTCTGTTTCTTGATCTTCTTGTGCATCCTTATAGCAGTATTGATTGACAGTATTGTTATGTGCTGTCGAGTCACGTGCAACTCATAGCGGCCTTATATACAACAGCCCTAAACCCTGCTGTCCTGTGCCAATCCTATAATCGCTGACACGCTTACCCTCATTACCCGAGTCACTGAATCAATCCATCTCATTGAGGGTCTTCCTCTCTTGCACTGTCCCTCCACCCTCCCAAGCATGATGTCCCTCTCCAAGGACTGAGCCTGCCTTGCAACATGTCCAAAGTATGTCAGACAAAGCTTTAGAATTCTTGCCTCCAAGGAGCAGCTTGGTCTCACCCTCTCTAGGATGAATCTGTTTGTTCTCCTTGCAGTCCATGGTATAATCAGTACTCTTCTCCAGCACCACAGCTCAAAGGCATCAATTCTCCATCTATCATCCCTAGTCATTGTCCAGCTTTCTGATGCACCTTAGTCTCCAGACTGATATTGTTGCTCTTCAGTACTTTGGAGAGATCTCTGACAGCAGACTTGCCCAATGCAATTTGTCTTTTACTTTTTTGGATGCTGGTACCAAGAGTGTTGATTGTGGAGCCAAGGAAACGAAAGCTGTTAACAATCTCAAGTCTCTTCACCATCTATCATGATGCTGCCAGTTGGCCCAGTGGTGAGAATCTTGGTTTTCTTGATATCGAGCCTCAATCCATACTGAAGGCTGTAACCCTTGACCTTCTGCAGCAAGAGCTTCAGGTCCTCCTCAGTTTCAGCAAGCAGGGTTGTGTCATCTGCATAACGCAGATTGTTGATGGGTCTTCCTCCAATCCTGATGCCACATTTCTCCTCATGGAACCCAGCCTCTCAGATGATCTGTTCTGCATACAGGTTGAAAAGGAATGGAGATAGGATACATCCCTGGCATACACCCTTCCCAATTTTGAACCCTGCAGTGTTTCCTTGCTCTGTTCTAATGACTCCTTCCTCATCCAATTACAGGTTTCACATAAGCACCATCAGATGTTCTAGGATTCCCATACTTCTCCAAGTCAGCTTCAGCTTGTTATTGATTAGTTTTATCATAAGTCCTGAAGTGTTTTTGATTGTTAGGTGCTATCACGTTGACTCTGATTCACAGTGACTATGAACAGCACATCAGAACGTTGCCCCATCCTGTACCATCATCCTAAAGTGGGAGAGGTTCTATAATACAACTGTGTTGCTCTTTTTCTAGATTCTTTTGGCTATTCTCTAGGTCTCAACATCTTCATGAAAATTTGAAAATTCCCTTTCCACTTACATAAAAAAACAAACCCAAAACAACAACTTACCTTGGCTGTGAATTCTTTGTAAATAAATTGGGCAAAGTTAAGATCTTGCTAATATTAATTTTCCCAACATATAACCATGGTGCATAAAAAAAGTCCTATGAGGAAAAATGTGGCATCAGGATTAAAGGAAGACTATCAACAACATTTGTTATGCAGATAACACAACCTTACTTATCAAAATGAAGAGGACCTGAGGCATTTCTTTGCTGCAGAAGGTCAAGGACTGCAGCCTTCAGTACGGATTGAAGCTCAACATCAAGAAGACATATTCTCACCACTGGGCCAATTGGCAGCACCATGATAAATGGAGAAGAGATTGACGTTGTCAACACTCTTGGTACTGTTGTTGTTAAGGGCCACTGAGTCATAGATGACTCATAGCAACCCTGTAAATGAAAGACCTGAACACCTGTATAACCTTGATCATATCTCCAAGTTCATAGAGTTTCCGGAGGCAAACTATTTTGGAAGTGGATGCCACTCCTGCTTCCAAGCTTGTTTTAATCAGGGAGCTCCACCAAACACTGTCTACCATGGGTAACCATTATCGCATTTGACACATCAGTGTCACAGTGTTCAGCATCACAGCGATCACCAGTATTCTTGGTACTAGCAGCCAGAAAATGAAAACATTAATTTCATTGGGAAATTCTGCTGTCAGGAACCTCTCCAGAGAACTGAAGAGCATTGATGTCAATCAGAGACTAAGATGCACCTAATCCTTTGCAGTTACTTGTTATGTATCAAAGAGTTGGACAATGATTAGGGATGATAGAAGAAGAATCAATGTCTTTGAGTTGTGATGCTGGAAAAGAGTATCAGATATACCATGGACTGCTAGGAGAACAAACAGATTCATCCTGGAGATGGTGAAACCAGGCTGCTATTTGGAGGCAAGAATTTTGAAGCTTCGTCTAACATACTTTGGGCATGCTGCAAGGAGGGATAAGTCCTTAGAGAAGGACATCATGCTTGAAAGGGTAGAGAGTGCAAGAGAGGAAGATCCTGGATGAGAGGGATTGACTCTAGATCAGAGACAATAAGGTTGAAAATGAGAGAAAAAGTCATAGCTGTTTTGCATAGGGTTGCTATGAGTTGCAAGGGACTTGATGGTGTATAACAACAACAACATACAAAGGTGGAGAGATGATGAAGGAGAGGAAGACCCTCAATGAGGTGGATTGACACAGTGACTGCTACAATGGGCTCTAGTGTGTCAGAGATTGTGAGGATGGTACAGGAAGAACAGAGTTCAGATCTGTTGAGCTTACGTTGCTCTAAGTTGTACTCAATAGCATCTTAACAACAAATTTAAAGATTATGCCTTTAAACATGATTTAAAAATTGACGCCTTTGAACTGTGATACTGGAGAAGAGTACTGAATATCTCATTGACTGACAAAAGAACAAGTAGATGTGCCTTGGAAAAAGTATCGCCTGACTGCTTCTTGAAGGTTAAGGTGATAAAACTGTCTCACATACTTTGGACATGTTGCTAAGAAAGGCTATATCCTTGGAAAGGAACATCAGGTTTGGAAAGGTAAAGGGTTGCCGAAAGAGAGGAAGACTCTTAACCAGATGAATTGACACAGTGACTCCAGCAATGGGCTCAAGTATGTCAGAGGTTATGAGGCTGGCACAGGATAGGACAGGGTTTAGATCTGTTGTTTATAGGGTTGCTAAGAGTCATACTCAACTCGATGGCACCTAACACAACAACATACTTAAAGACTTCTTACCTATTTCCCAGAAATGGGTTTTTTGTCTTTAGTGTGGAAGTCCTAAGTGTCTTTTGAGAAATTTACTGCTAATTTCTTTATTATTTGATTGTCTGGTAAATGAAACTTTAGTTTTGAGCTGTTCACATGATTATTGTTATTTGCCATCGAGTCTGTTCGGCTCACAGCAGCTCCGGGTGTGCATAGTAGTATGTCGACCAGGGCTCTTCCAGGTAGGTACAGAGTGCCAGCCTTTCAGCTAGTAGTTAAGACCAGAACTGTTTACATTCCCCAGAGACTCCTGTTTGCTGCTACATACAGTAACAGAATAGATTTTTATACATTAACCCTTGACTCCAAGACATTGCCACACTCTCTGTGTTCTTTTTAGCTAGTGGTTCCTGCATACCATGGACTTTGTCCTCTTCCTATGTTTACTTCTCTCCCATGTCAGCGTTTGTAAGAGGGCCACTGCTGTGGCATGGCTTGTGAAGTCTTCTCCCACTGTGCCCCAGCTGAAAAGCAGTAGGCCATCCTCCGAGCCTCTATGACAGAACTTTCTGTCCTCAGTCTGGGATGAGGGCAAGGACTTTATCTCCCTGTCTGACCTGGCAGTATCTAGCACAGTGTCTTCGTTTATAGTCTGGAAATGTACCTTTATAATAATGATTTCTGGAAGTAGGGAATTGTGTCACTCTGGAATGGGTTAGAAGGATTTCTGATGGCACAGTGCTTGAGCCCTCAGTTGCTAACCGAGATGTTGCCAGTTCAAACCCAGCAGCCCCTCCACAGCAGAAAGATGTGGCAAGCTGCCTTGGGGAGGCAAAGATTGCGGTTCTGGGAATCCTGGTGAGCTTTCTGATCCGTCCTGTAGAGTCAGTGAGAGTCAGAATTATCCAGGCAGCAGCATATTTGACTTTTTGGGGGCAGGAAATCCCTGTTAACAATTTCAACTGGAAATACTTACTGAAATGTATTTTCAAAAAGGAAAAGAAACCTTTGCCTTCTTCCTGTGTCTTCTGATAAACAAAAACTTCGGTTTTTCTTTAATCACACCCAATTTATGAAGTTTGTTATGGCCCATGCTTTCTGTGTCCTAAGAAATTTTCACCTCTACATTGTTCTCTTGTTAAAGTTTATATTTAGCTCTTATAGTTAGATAGGGAGCACTGGTGGCCTTGTGGCAAGAAGCTGTGCCGCAGTCCCAAAGTCACGCAGTTCCATTCCACCATCTGCTCCACAGGAGAAGGACAATCTCCTCCCATGTGATTAACTGCCCCTGAAAACCCAGTAGGGGGTAAGCTATGGGTTGGTTCTGACTTGACGGTACACAACAACATAGTTAGCAATAATATTTCTAGAACATTTTAATAGAAAAAATTATTAATTGTAATTACTAAGGTAATAATGATAATTTTTCCAAAAACTTTCCCTGTGTTCTTACTGTTTTAAAATATGTACATTAATGAATGACCGCCATCCTCTAAATGACAGGCTTTGCTGGCAGTTTAACTGTACACCTAATACGTTTCTCGTGAATTCCTTCTTATTTTGTAGGTGGCCGACTGTGCTTGGGATGAAACAATAAAGATCTATGCTCCTGCATGTCTAGCTGCTGCTTCTTGAGATACACAGTTCTGGGCAGAAGCAAAGGACCAGAACTGAAGAACTGTTCACAGGAAAGAAATAGCCATTGATAAAACAGACATGATGCTTGTTTTATATAATTTTCAGATTTCCATTTATAAAAGTTTATCCTGAAACCGATTTTGAGACAGCTCATAGAGACCTTGGTTCTAGTACATAAACCATATTTCTTAAAGTCTTAAAGAATAATTGTTGTTACAGTATGTCTCATAGTATCTGTTAAAATGTAACCTCTGTATTGTAGATTATAAAATATGGGAGATCAATAGATTATACTAATAATTATATGATTTCTTTTTAATTTATGTCCTTTTTATGTAGACTATGATCACTGCTATTTATAAAAATAAACTACATCTCTTGCTTATTTACATTTTGTTACTTAATCAACAGTATTGGTTTTTTTCTGATCTATTGCATGTGTGACTACAGCACTATAACGTATGTGGATATACCTAAGCTTCAGTATCAGGCTCTGGTACAGGGTGAATCTAGTCTTAATTTATTAGTTTCTTAAGTAGTTATTGCTTGAGCATCTACTAAATGACTAACACATAGAATGAATGAGATTCTCTTAGGGATTGGGATCTGTCTTAAGACAATAGAATGCTGCAGCAAAGAATGTGCATTTTTTTGTTTTTATTCAAAACTTCTAAGATAGTAGTGATTTTTATTTCCCTTTTTCTATTTGCCTATTATCTAATGCTTAAAAAAAGGAACTTCTTACTGAGCAAGTCTTAGATCTTACTAATTTTTCCAATAATTGTTCTTGCCCATCAACAAACGAATGGGTAGAGAAGCTGTGGTATATTCACACAATGGAATGCTATGCTGCTCTGAAAAACAAGGAACTCATGCAACATTATTCAAAATGGGTGACCCCAGAGGACATTATGCTGAGTGAAGTATTTCAGTCACAAAAGGACAAATACTGCATGGTGCCACAGTTGTAAAACAGGACTGACATCGGGGTTGGGGAGAGACTGAGAAAGATGGGTTCAATATTGTATACAGCATTTGAAACAGATGAGGGAGAAAACTGTTTAAAAGGGACATGTGATTAGGTATTTTTGTCATGACAGGAGTCTAGAACAAAGGCTATATAGTGGAGTGGACCTGGGGGGAGGGATTGTAAAACAATGAAAGAATTTTTCTTTTACTTTTCCAAGAGGGTAGTGTACTAGGGGGGAGGGTTGGGAGGTGAGAAAAGTGCAACAATGAATGAATGGAAACCCAAAGTCTCTGTAAATTTTCATTGAAATTAATAATAAATTTTAAAAAATTTTAAAAAATTGTTCTGAAACGAGCCATAAGCAATACTTTCAACCATCTTAAGTCTTCTTGATAATCAATCAGTGCTTCTTTTTTGTATGCCATCGAGTTAGTACTGACTTATAACTGACCCTCCAGTGGGTTTTCAGAGGTGGTTTTAATCACAGAGGAAGAGACTGCTCATCCTTCTCCTGGGGAACTGGTGGATTTGAACCATGTGCCTTTGGGATTATAACACAGCTTCTTACCACTAGGCCACCAGAGTTCCCTAATATGTGTTTATGAGCTAATGAAAAAAAAAACTAGGCTAAAAGGAAAAATTAGTAGAAAAATCAATTTTGTGTAAGATCTATAGTCTGTAATTTTAAAACAGTGTTATCGAATGACAAATATTTATTCATTTTTAACAAGTTTTTGAGACATCTTATGCAACACCCTAATTAAGGTAGACCTGATCTTGGAGAAAGCCCTGAGCTGGGAATATGTCTTGGAGAAAGTGCAGCCAGAGTGCTTTTCGGAGGCAAAGATGAGAAAGCTTCACCTCCCATATTTGGGGCATGTTGCTAGGAGGGGCTGTTCCTCAGAGAGGGACATCATGCTAGGAAAGGAAGAGGGTCAGTGGAGGAGAGAAAGCCTCTCAGCCTGGTCGATTTTGACACAGTGACTGCACCAATGTGCTCTAGTGTGTCGGGAATTGAGGATTGCACAGGATAGGACAGGGTTCAGGTCTGTTGCTCAAAGGGTCGCTATGGGTAATACTCAATTTGACAGCACCTAACAACACAGCCCTGATCTAATGTTAGGGAATCTAATGTCAAGGCCAACAGTAATTGGCCCATTGAGAAAGAATCAAGATTTGGAACTCTGTGGTGAGTAGACCGTGATCATTCCTGAAAGTATTGCCAAAGTGTTCTCAAGTCTAAAGAGTTAAGAAGCTGGCCTGGCCTTGGCGACCCCACCAAGGCCCATCATGTGGTAGATGAGCTCCAGGCTGAGAGCCAGTCATTCCTTTTGCTTTTGGCAGTTCTGAGCTTAACTATAATTTAGCTCTTCCAAAAATGAGCTCTCATTAATTTCTTACTTAACGGGTCTGTCTCTGGATGAACTAATCCACTTAAGTGTTTTACTTCCATAGATAGATAGATAGATAGATAGATAGATAGATAGATAGATAGATAGATAGATAGATAGATAGATATACAGAATACATCTACCTTCCCCCTGAATTTTCCATGCCATTGCATTTAGTTTATTCTAACCAAACCCATCCTGTTCTTTAAATTTGTTCCTCCAGTGCCCAAGTTTTAATTGGTTCAATTTCATTAACTGCTGCCCATTCACTCAAGCTAAAGACCTAATGTTACCCTGGGTCCTTCTTTGCTCCTTTCTCCCTCCCACATGCATACTGAACAGACCGCTGAGCCCTGTCCCTTTTACTCCTGAAGTACTTTTTCATCCTCCCTCTCTTCCTCTATCCAGCCTCCCCTGTCCCTGTTCAAGCCATCATTAGCTTTTCTTTGGAAGACTGCAGCGACTTCCCAAAGGATGTGTCTGTTTTGACTTCTGTGCCCCCAGAGCCTTCCTCCTCAGAGCAGCTTCCAGAGACTGATCTACAGTGCAATCTGATTACATCAATTCCAGTGTAAAACCTTTCCCTGTTTATAGGGTTGCCCACAGGAAAAAGTTCAAGCTCACTAGCCAGGCAGCCGAGGGCCTCTAGGGTCTCATCTGCCTTCATTTGTAGCATAGCATCTCTCCACATCGCGTGCACTCTGCGTCCCAACAACACTAGCAGGTCACAAATTCTGATGTACATAATACAGGCTTTCATCTGGCTTTGCTCAGGCTGGTCCGTATGCCTGAGTACCTTGCTCTTGGCTTGGCTAGGGGTTTTTTTTGATAATTTTTTAAAAAGTAATAAAAAATACAATTTATTGACTCATTATTTAAAAAGTCATGTGAAAGTTTTGACGAAAAAGTAGGCCATATTAAACAAATATATATAACAAAACACAGCTTTAGCATAGTTAAAAGATGACAAATTGGAAGGATATATAGTTGCAATGCATGTAACAAATGATTAATAATCTATAATATATTCGAGAGCTCAAAATTAACTTGACAAAATAGTCAACATAAAAATGTGGAAAGATTGACAATAGGCAGTTCACACAATGCAAATATTTCATGTACTTCAAAAAGATGTTTGGTGAAGAATTGTCTCATTGATGATAAAAGATGTACAAATTAAATGAGATCCCATTTTTTTCCTTATCAGATAGATGGGTTAATATGTTAAATATTGATAATATGCAATATTTGTTAACATGACAGGACTGTTAACAAAAATACCTTTTTGAAAGAATCTAGATTTAAAATTACCCTTTGATGCAGGACTTTTAGAATTCCTCCCTTTTTCTACCCTTCAGTTACTTGTAGAAGTGGATAAATGTCCAAAGGTATTCATTGCATCATTGTTTATAAAATAACAAAGTTATACTAGAAAACAGTCATTTAAAAGAAAGAACTTTCTGTTTCGACATGGAAAGATTCACTGTAATTGATATATATGAATTAACACTGCTTAACAAATTACCCAAAAGTTTAGTTGAAAGCAAACCATTTATTAACTTACAGTTTCTCTGGCTAGAATCTCAGAGTTGCTTAGCTGGGATATTCGGGTTGAGGGTTACTCATGAGATTGTAGTGAAGCTGTCCACTGGGGCTCACAGGAACTGAAGGTCTGCATGGTTGTTGGCCTCAAACACCATGTGCAGCTATTCTATGGCTGGGCGTCCTCACATCTAACTCCTTCCAGACTGAGTAATCCAAGAGAGAAATAGCAAAAAAGGAAAGTTCAGTCTTTCATAACCTAGTATCAGGAAGGTGACAGGTCATCACCTAGACCAAGCTTGGTATAAAGTAGGAGGAGTTAGCACAAGGGTATAAATACAACAAAGTGGGACATCACTGGAGCTATCTTTTTTATTTTTATTTTATACTCTTTACTTACAAAGTTCATATACATTGTTTTTCACACAGGATCTTTCCCATTTCATTAACCCACCCAACAAATTGTGTGACTTTATGATTAACCTCTCTGCTCCTCTCCCCGCCCCCCTTAGATCCTTATATACATTCTACTAGTTATTTCTACAATAATGGTCTTATGCAGTATTTGTCCTTATGGGACTGAAGTAGTTCACTTAGCATAATGCTCTCCAGTCCCTCCCAAGTTATGTAATGATTTATAATATTGTTGCTACTGAATGCTGCATAGTATTCCATCATGTGAATGCACTATAATCTCTCAATCCATTTGATTGTGGTTGGGCATTTGGGCTGTTTTCAAGTTCTTACAATGGTGAATAATGCTGTTAACATATTGGTGTACAAGTCTCCATTTGTGCCTCAGTTTTCATTTTCTCCTGTTAGATACCAAGCCCGAGGAGTGACATCCACTTAGGTAATAGCTTGCCTCCGGAAACCCTGTGAACCTGGAGAGAGGATGAAAGACACCCAAGTGTTGAGGACTCTCCTTCATAGGGTTGCTCTGAGTCACCTGCAACTCGACGGCACTTAACAACAACAACAACAGATACCAAGCAGTGGGATAGCTGGATCATAAGAAATTGCTATGTTCAGCTTTCGGAGGAAATGCCAAACTGCCTTCCAGAGTGGTTCTGCCATTTTTAAATCCCAACATTTCACAATCCCAACAACAGTGTATAAGCATTCCGATTTCTCCACATCCACTCCAATATTTATTACTTGTTGGCCTCCTAAGCTTGCCACTGCTGCTGAGGTGAGATGGTATCTCATTGCGGTTTTGATTTGCATCTCTCTTACTGCTAGTGATTTTGAGCATTTCTTTATGTGTCTGTTGGCCATCCAAATATCTTCCTTTGTGAAAATTATTTCCATGTCTTTTGCTCATTTTGTAATTGTTGCCAGTTTTTTTTCTTGTAGAGGCCCTGTAAGATTCTGTAAAGTTTTGATATGAGACCCTTGTCTGAAATGGTATTGCCAAATGTTTATTCCCAGTTTTCTTTTCACTCTGTTGGGAAAAGTTTTTGTAACACAAAGGGATTTACTCTTTAGAAGGTCCCATTCATCAGTTACATACTCTCCAGATTGTGCATTTCTGACTGTATTTGGCAGTCTCTATACCATAGAGTAGGCCTTCTAAGCTTGATGCCAGTTTGTTTCTGTGCACTGAAACTATCTATCTCAGAGCTAGTTACCACAATATGCATTTTAAATAGCAAATCACTGTCAAATCCACATGATAATCCTGATTATGTTAAAACAAACCAGGCTAGAAGTTGGTGGGTGGTGATTAGGTGCTGTCAAGTGTGACTCATCGTGACCCTACAAAAAACAAATCTGAACCCCGTCCTATCCGATGCCAACAATATCTGTTGGTGCAGTCACCGCGCCAATCCACTTGCTTGTGGGTCTTCTTCTCTTTTACCCAATTTGATCTATGTTGTGCATTTTACCATTATTGGTTTGCTTGGATGGATGTTTTTGCTGCTGATTGCCTTCAAGTGGAACACGACTCATAGGGACCCTATGAACAAAAGGCTCCTCTGCAACTATCAACATTTATCAAAGTTCATAGAGTTTCCGGAGGCATGCTGTTTAGGAAGTGGATGCCACTCCTGTTTCCAATTGCATGGACTAGGATACAATAAAATTTATCTTAACCTTGCATTCCAGTTGCTAATACAGTATCATTGTTGTGGAATTTATCATGTGTGTTGATTTTTCTTCTGCCAAAAGAACAAACAGGTATGTCTTGGAAAAGGTGCAGCCCGAGTGATAGGCAGACATTTATATGAGTATGTATACAAAAGCCCGAGTGGTCTCGCTCTAAACTCTTCACTACAGTAGCCCTCTGGGGGTTTGATGTAGGGGATATTGAAAATGGTGTTTTCATTTATTTATAAAGTTGTTTCCCTTTTTAAAATTATACTACAGTGAACATCTGTTACTTTTACAACTGTTATATGTGGAATTGTGTTCTTCACAAAGCTATATTGTAAATCCTAAGTTTTTACCTATTTTATTTGAGATTAGATTGGGTCTGTTACATTAAACAGGCAGGATTAGTGTAAAGATGGTTTTGTGTGAAATCTCTTTAGAGATTAAGCCAGCAGAAACGCTAAGAGATGACTAACCGCATAAAGATTGCCCAGAAGCAGAAGCTCCGAGACCAGGACAGTCCTCCAAAGCTGGAGGAGAAAGAAAAGAAAGGCCTGCATCCTGGGTGCTCAGGTGGCTTCGTTGTAAGGAGTTTTGTTGCCAGTTCAAAGGCATGTGGTTCAAATCCACCAGCTGCTCCTCAAGAGAATGATGAGCAGTCTCCTCCTATATGATTGACTGCCTCAGAAAACCCACTGGAGGGTCAGCTATGAGTTGGTTTTGACTTGATGGTACTTAACAATAACAACAGGCCACATATGGGATTTGAACTTTTCGCTTCCCAAGTTCTGTGTGGAGATTTCTCCTCTTTCTCCTATGGAGCAGCTGATGGATTAGAACTGCTTGCCTTCGGGTTGGCAACACAACCCCTTACCCACTAGGTCACTGGAGATTTCTGTTTGCTAAAGCCAGCCACTTGAAGACAATAAAATATTAAAAACAAAATCCAGACCTATTTCCTGCTCTAGACAATCTTCTCTAACACCCCACTTAGGCTCATTTCATTGCCCTCACTGGTCCCCTCATTCTTGCCACAAGACCCCACTGTCACATTAGCTTAGTAATGTTGCTTCACCCCCAGCTGTGAATCCTTGCAGACAAAAATGGCTGCTCATCTTGAAATGTTTCTAGGCTCACAGACTACCTAACACGGAATACTTGTTCCATATGTTTGTTGAATGAATAAATGAACTAAGGGATTTATGTCTGCCATTACTATTTACTGGATAGTGTCAAAGATACAGTACTTAATACCAGTAGATTAAACAGCCATTTGACCTTCATATCTGCAATTTTGTTAGTTAACCTAGCTGAACCACTGTGCTCTTATTTTCCCCATTTTTCATTCCAGACCTGTCTAGTAATTATGGAAGATGAGGTTAAAATAAAAAAAAACAAAACAAAACACCAAAATAAAAATCTTGATGGAAGAGAAGTCCTTGCAATAAAGGGATGAAAATGTCTTGTTTCATGCCACTGTAGGTTTCAGATAGCAAGCCTAAATGAGGATTGGTAGCTGAATCAGCCCCAAATCCTTTACCTAATGTTAGTATCACAAATGGAAAGCAATTATAATTCCTTGCAAAAGTGAATCATCCCAAAACTAGGTCTACTCAGACAATTCTTTATTATATTCACTTAAGATGGCTTAAAGCAGCCAGCCTTTAATTGAAATGATCCCCAGAAGCAGAGATCGGTTATGTGCTGATGTCTTTTAAAAGATAATTTTCAGACACTTTTTCTCCAAGTATACTTTGAATATATTATATCACATACAGGCACATAATCTGGATTGCTGTTTCCAACTATATTATTTTGTAAATATCACACTAAAAACCCTCGAGTCCCTGAAATGGCCAATCCTGTGTAAACTCAAATGTATGTGTCAGTGCCGTGCTTTCCAGTGTTTTTCCTGGAAAGTTGGCACAATGGGACATCTCACACCATTTCCTGAGGCCCACCTGTGAGGCAGAGGTAAGGGGTGGCTCTGTCAACACCGGCCCCTCAGCAAGTGAGATGGTTGGAGCGGTGGCTTTACCACCCCAACGAGCAACCACCCCTCATAAAACGGTGCTGACTATAGCATGAGTAGCTTTCTTCTGCGATGATAATTACTGTAGCTTTACCATCTCTCCTGGAACGGTGGCGTTCAACACATAGGTGGAAATAAACGGAAGAAAACAAGACTGCTCGGAGAAACAGATTTTCAGTATCATAAGAAGGCAATTTGATGCGGGGTTTAAAGATTAGGCGGCTGGGCTCCGGGCTGGGGCAAGTGGTGGAGCACAATCTCTCACCCAAACTCAGTCAAGCCCCACTGTTCCTAGGGCGACCCCTGAACTGTGTAAGCCTACAAGTTAGGAGCGACCTCCCCTGCTGCTGACTTAACACTAGTTGCTGTGCAGGGAACTGAATTCAGACGAAACGGGGCCTGGAGGCCTTCCCCTCGCATAAAGTAAGAATCGCTCCTTTTCTTAGTCAGGTGAGAACAGACGGTTCACAAGTTGCGTGGGGCCAAGAGTTGCCCTGGGAGATAAGCTGCGGGGCCCTCTCGGCGGTTTGCGCCTGGCCTGCACTCCGGGCGGTTGTAGGCGTTTTTTGAGGGCGCTCCGGGTGTGAGTGAAGGGCTGGCTTCTGTCTCCAGCCCGCCCTTCCCCGCGGCGCTCCAGGCCCCTCCAACCCTGGCCAAAAGGCTGTTTGTCTTTTGGATCCTGCTCGTATTTCTCCATCCTTATTTCGGGCCCTGGCTCCCACCAGACGCCCCTGAGGTTCCTAGAGACTCGAGAGCCCCAAGACCATCCTGACCAGATGTGCAGACCCGAAGGCGCTTTCCCCGAGACGGGAAGCCGCCCTGCCAGCCTTCGATCCCCAAAACACATCGCGGGCTCCTTCTTGGCTCCACGATTGAACCTACAGCGTCTGGGAGCCCCGACAGCCCAGGGATCCCCGCTGGACGAGTTCCTGCGGCTGCGCCGGGAGGGACCGTGGGTGGGAAAAGCGCAGCGGCGTCCGCGAGCCGAACCCTAGGGGGCTGGCACTTGTTGCAGTCAATAGACGGTGTTGGACCCGGGGCGCTGAGCTTTCTAAAATCGTGGGAAGCTGCGTCCGGGGACCCCCGAGCCCCTGGACTCGGAGCAGCGAGGAAGAGCCGGCGGGAGCAGCCGGCATCGCGCGAGCGGAGCGCAGGGCAAGCGCGCGGGGTCCCGCCCTGCGGCAGCGGCCGGGGGTGCTCGCCGGGCTCCCCGCCGCACAGCGCCTGCCCTGCCCGTGGAGCGCGCGGGACACAGCCCAGCGCCGCGCGTCGCCTCCTTACAAATCGCTGTCGCTAGGATTCCCCGCCACTCCTCTCCGACCAGCTCCCCCCACCTCTGCCACTTTTCGGAGTCCCCCGCCCCCGGCACCTCTGCCACTGCCGCCTCAGTCGGACGCGGAGCCGCGGAGCCGCGGAGCTAGGAGGACGCCCTGCAGCCGAGCCTGCGCCCCCGCCGCCCTCGCGGCTCCTCCGCGCTCTGCCCCGGGCGCTCCCGCGGGTCCCCGCGCTCTGCTACCCGAGCCCGGGCGGCGGGGCCGGCGCCATGCGGCACCTGTGCCGGGGCCGCGTGCTGGGCATCTCGGTGGCCATCGCGCACGGGGTCTTCTCGGGCTCCCTCAACATCCTGCTCAAGTTCCTCATCAGCCGCTACCAGTTCTCTTTCCTGACCCTGGTGCAGTGCCTGACCAGCTCGACCGCGGCGCTGAGCCTGGAGCTGCTGCGGCGCCTCGGGCTCATCGCCGTGCCCCCCTTCGGCCTGAGCCTGGCGCGCTCCTTCGCGGCCGTCACGGTGCTCTCCACGCTGCAGTCCAGCCTCACGCTCTGGTCGCTGCGCGGCCTCAGCCTGCCCATGTACGTGGTCTTCAAGCGCTGCCTGCCCCTGGTCACCATGCTCATCGGCGTGCTGGTGCTCAAGAACGGCGCGCCCTCGCCCGGGGTGCTGGCCGCAGTGCTCATCACCACCTGCGGCGCCGCCCTGGCAGGTGAGCGGGCCCCGCGCGAACCCCCAGCCCTCCCCACCCCACCGGGCCGCGACCGCGGGGGACTTGGTGCAACGCTGCCACTGCCAAAGGAGGGAGACTGAGGCCGAGAGGCACTTTGAACTTGGTCGCTTGGCTCACAAAGCGGACTTCTGAGACTAGTGCGCCCTTCCCAGCGCTCGGGGCACCTTTTTCAATCCCAAACCCTGCCACCCTGCCCAGCTTGACTGCCGACCCCCGCCCTTGCTCACCCAGTATCACCCATCCCGACCCTTTCCCTCTTCCTTCCTCCGGGAGGGCTGGAGTCCTCTAACCCCTGATCGACCGGAAGGGGATGCGAACTTCTCCCGGCCACGCCGAGCTGGAGACGGGTGGGAGGGCTTGAAGCAGGGTTTGACTGAGGTTTACGGCCAGGCTGGTTTGCAGCCTCAGGGGCAGAGGACGCCAGGCAGAGGCGGGCGGGCGGGGGTCCACGTGGCGGACGGGGGTCCACGTGGTGGCCGCGATAAGGAGAGGGGAAGCCCTGGTTTGGGGGCATAAGGGAGGCATGCGCCCCGCGCCTAGTCCGCTTGGGGTTGGAGGCCACCGTCTGGAGCTCCTCCCCCTTCCTGCGGGAGGATGGGGGGCTGGGGCGCTCCCGCCTGGATGGCCGGTGGCGGCTCTCAAAGCCGCAGCGGCGCGACCCCGAGGGCATCTGCGGTGGACAGAGGTTCTGGGGGTGGCCAGGGAACACACCCGGGATGGCACGTCTCCTCCTCGTGTGTCGCTCTGGACAGAGAGTGAGCTAGGCTGTCCCATTTTGTACCTGTCGCCGCGGCAGGGCGAGGCGCCCAGGAATGAAGCAGGTTGAGCGGGGCGCGAACGAGTGCACCCTGCTGCCCGACGCGTTGCGCTTTGGAAAATCCACCCACACCAACTCGGTGTCTTCTCTCTCTCTTTCTCTCCCTCGCTGCTGCCTCCTGGGCCGCGCCGCCGTCGGCCCCGTGCGCTCAGGAGCCGGAGACCTGACTGGCGACCCCATCGGCTACGTAACGGGCGTGCTGGCCGTGCTAGTGCACGCCGCCTACCTGGTGCTCATCCAGAAGGCGAGCGCCGACACGGAGCACGGGCCGCTCACCGCGCAGTACGCCATCGCCGTGTCCGCCACCCCGCTGCTCGTGGTCTTCTCCTTCGCCAGCACCGACTCCATCCACGCCTGGGCCTTCCCTGGCTGGAAGGACCCCGCCATGGTCTGCATCTTCGTGGCCTGCATCCTGATCGGCTGTGCCATGAACTTCACCACCCTGCACTGCACTTACATCAACTCGGCGGTGACCACCAGCTTCGTGGGTGTGGTGAAGAGCATCGCTACCATCACCGTGGGCATGGTGGCCTTCAGCGACGTGGAGCCCACCTCTCTGTTTATTGCCGGCGTGGTGGTGAACACCTTGGGCTCCATCATTTACTGCGTGGCCAAATTCTGGGAGACCAGAAAGCAAAGCAACTATGAGGACCTGGAGACGCAGCCCGTTGGAGAGGAGGCACAGCCGAGCGGAGCCCAGCTGCCCTTCGCCATGGAGGAGCTGGCTGGAGAGGCGGCGAATGGCGAGTCAGAAGGTGGAGGGGTAGCGGGTGGCTCCGCTTTGCAGAGCGCGCAGGAGGCCAGGGGCAGCCGCGCAGGAGCCTCCCCGGTTCCAGGGGACCCAGAAGAAATGAGCAAGAGGTCATTAAAGGATACTTACCTCGAAGTGTGGAGGTTGGTTAGGGGCACCAAGTACATGAAGAAGGATTACTTGATAGAAAACGAGGAGTTACCCAGCCCTTGAACAGAAGGTGCATGTGTCATATGTAGTACACTCGTTTTCGTGTTACAGGTCAGATGTGTTTCCACGAGGGTCCACCGTTTTCTCTGGGGACTGGGGGAAAGGAAGCCAAGAAAAGATGCTGAAGACATTGAAAGCAAAAAATAACAACTGACAGAGAGCACCTTTGTGAATTATTCAGTGAGGCTTTACCTGAGGCATCAAGAGACAGCAGGATGTGAAGGTGCTTAAAAAACAGGGAAGTTGTTTGGCTTCCAACTCCTGGCACATTTCTGTCTTTCTAACCTTCACCAAATATCTGCATGTACCAAGAGTCCCCCAGCCACCTCTTCCAAAGATGGTGTGCAGAGGTGATGACAGCACGTAAGGTTTAACCATTAGGGACACATTTTTGTTCAACAGCTGGGAAAAGGAAATTTTGTTGAGATGATATTATATACAAGCATCCTGAACTGATGTTTACTGTTTATAATCTATCATGTTTACGCTCATCCTCTCCTTGTTTTTAAAACAAGTGCTCTATTATTCTATTATATGTTGGCAGAAAATGTGACAGCTATTTTGAAAATAGGAGATCTTAGCTTTAATCATGAGGTTTAATGTTTACTTTCCATATTTATAAAAATATGTTAAAAGCTGTTTTAGTTCATTGCTTTATGATATTTATTATGGAATGCCATATTTAAAAAACCACTCTTGACTGTGTGTGTCCCGTATGCTCTCAATCAAATGCAGTGGCTGGGATAGAATTCAGTGTTGACTGTGGCCCGGGTCAGAAGAGAGGTCAACCTGAAATACTCACGACTTGCACTTGTCTCAAACCATGTTACAGAAAAGAGCAACAGCTAGATTCGCATCATGATATTTTTCTATATTAAATTTGCCAAAATAAAGTATGAGTCTACCTGCTAAAAGACACAGTGTCAGAAACTTGTCTTGGATACATTTATGCTCTGGTGTTGCTGTCTGCAGTTGGTTTTGGCTTTAGGGGTGTGGCGCATAGGGTCTAGCATATAGGGACCATAGTATTGGGAATGAGGGTTTGTTTCGAATAACAGCTGAAACACTCCTATTTTCCAGTATGGAGAACTGTTATAAAGTAAAAGAAAGCGATTGACATCAAACAAAACCAGACCAGTTGCCATTGAGTTGATTCTGCCTCATGGTTACTTCTTGGCTTCAGAGTAGAGCTGAGCTCCTTGGATTTTCGTAGTTTCCATGGACTATGAAGATGAAGCCCCATCAGGCAGGGTTTCTTCCTTTTGTATGTAGGGTCGTATGAGTCAGAGCCAACGGAACAATTCTTAGCAACAACCACCTTTCAGAAGCAGATCACCAGACTTGTTTTTTTCTAAGACCTCACTGAGGGAATTTGAACTTTGTGGCTAATAGTCCAGTACTTAACTGTTTATGGCACGACTTGAGATGTTGCATCTTAGACGTAATAGGACAGTTCTTGGCAGGGATACCTTTCTGTCCATTTGTTCCAGGACCTTGAATGATCTCTCGTCACTCAACACATTGCCAGTGTCTCCCTGAGACTGTCTGACGGGAGTAGAATGCCCCATGTTTTTCTTTCTGTTTTAAAAAGTCAAAGGAAATCAAAGAGAGAAGCTCCACCAGGTTGGCTTCACAAGCTGGTGAGCGAGGACAGTTGGGGTGGTTGAAGATTGACCCCTGTTACTGGTTTTCATGGGCAGTTGATTGTTTTTACAAGTACCTACAAGTGATGGATGAGTCCTCATTCAGCAGCATCTAGAGATGGTTGACTGGGGTTAGAAGAATGTCTTTGCAAATAAGCATTAATTTTAATGTCAACATGCCAGAGGGCAACAGACTACTGCAGTTCCTTGAAGCTGAGAATTAATAAAAAGCAGCAAAGTTGAACCAACTATCATTTTTCTGTTAATAGCACTGTAAGATAAATTGATGGAATTATTCTCTCTCTCTCTCTCTCTCACACACACACACAGAGACACACACTTTTTGATTAAACAAATGACTTTGCATTTATTGTGACAAGATCAACTGTTTCAGCAAACTTCCAGGGACACTGGCAGGAAGGTGGTGGGGGAAGGAGATGAGGCAAAATAAGGACAAGCCTGGAAGAACAGAGGTGGATTTTCTTCCCCTTGCTGTCTGGACCAAGCTTGGAAAGTCTCTACGTGGATCAACACATCAGTTACAAGGGAGAATAAAGGGGGAGTACACACCTGGGCTCAGGTGTAGAAGGCATGGGCAAGGGTCCTACCTTGGCTGATGCCTGACTTCTGGACACTTGCTTCTGCTGGTCAGCAGTGACCCCCTACAGATAGATGCTCATTCACCCTGGCCTTTGGGATCAGGAAAGCTCTTGTTTCAGGCAAGAAGCTGGTCTCTCATTGTGAATAGGGTTCCGTTGGAAGTCACCACTGCTGCTTGGCTTACCCAGTCTTTATGTGCTTAGGGAGTAAGGAGCTGCACTGCCAACCTAAAGGCGGGCAGTTCAAATCTGCCAGCTGTTGTATGGGAGGAAGATGGACAGGCTCTTCCCATCTGATTTACAGCTTCTGAAAACCTGCTGAGTGTCAACTGTGAATTGTTTCCAATTTAAAACCCCTAATTGGGGTTTCCTTTTGCCTTGACAACTTAAATTCTCCCTTTACTCTGAGAGTGAGCCCCTGCCTACTATGTACCCAGCAAAGAGTCAAGCCCCTAACCTAGAACTGGCTCCTACATTGTTTGCTTAGGACAAAAGCCCTACCTGGCCCTCACCTACCACTTCTCAGCTGGAATCTGTCTCTGAAACACAGGAGGGTCTCTGTGTTGGCCTTGCTCTCGGGTTCTTTAAAGCAGGCCAAGGCAGTTGCTGATGAATCCACATCAGTTGCCCATGCAAACTTGGCCCCAGGTGTGTCAAATTAGAACTACCATCCATATAGGCTTTTCTAAGGCTGATTTTTTTAATAAGTGGATTACCAAGCCTTTCTCCCATGGTTCTTCTGAGCAGAAAATTTTACAGAAAAGTACATTTTTCATTCATTCATTGTTGCACATTTTCCTCTCTACCCACCCCCAGTGTCCAGTTTGCTTAAAAAAAATTAAAAATATTTTCATTTGAGGTGTATTAACCATTTATACTTCCCCAGGACTCTTAAATGCTGCCCAATCTGCCATTATTGATTAGCCTTGGATCAAACAGAACTAAAACTGTGAAACCGATAGAGTCTATTCATGTTATTGTGATTTTCTGAGCAGAACTAAAGCAATGGCCCAATCTCTGGTTAGATTACTTGTTTTGTAAAAGAAGCCACCAGCTGTCAGAGGGCCATAAGCAACACTTCAAGGAGCCCAAGCCAGGTGAGAGTTTCGTCTTTTGCGGACTGACAGACGTGTTTGTTTTAGTTTAGATGTTTTCACCGGCCTGTCTTGAGCTCACTGCTTCTCTCCTTGGTAGGGTCCATCAGAGGAACTGATCATTTCTGTTACAGGGTTTTTGATTGCTGGCGTTTCCTTTTGATTCTTAGAATTTCTGTCTCTCTGCTTTTATTACCCATCTGTTCTTACATGTTGTCTGCTTTCTCCATTACAGCCCTTTACATGCTAATCACAGTTATTTTAAATCCCCTGCCTGATAATTCCAACATCTGTTTCAGATCGGAATCTGGTTCCGATGCTGGCATTTGTCACTTCAGACATTTTTTTCCCTCCCCCAGTTGGCACGCTTGTTGGAACTTAGATGAGATGCACTATGTAAAAGGAGCCGAGGTCAGTAGACACTCTGTGTGGTTTCATGTTGCTCTGTCTACACACTGAGGGATTAGTTTAATATTTGCTCTGGCTCAGGATAGGATAGGGTTCAGAGCTATTGCACATAAGATTTCTATGAGTCGCAGATGACTCAATGGCACATAACAACAACAACAACTGTAGGTGCCCACCCACACCCACTGCTGTCAAGTAGGTTCTGACTTATAGTGAGCCTTCATTGGGTGTCTGAGGCTGTAATATTTATGGGAGGAGACTGCCCATCTTTCTACCATGGAGGCCACTGGACTTGAACTGCTGCCCTTTCTGTTATCTGTGAGCACCTTACATTATATATTTTGCCATTAGAGCTCCTAACTGTAGGTGCCAGGGGGTTAAAACTCCTCCTGTGTCTTTGTTTTTGTCTCTTCTGTTGACTCCAGGCTTCCCTCAGAACCCGTCCTCAAGCCTGTCTTTTGTGATCCTTTCTTCTGTAATTCCACTGTTGTAACACTGCAGTCGAGTCTGTGAGGTGTAAGGAACGGGACAAGGGGAGGGACTCAAGTTATAATCTAACGGTTTAAGCGCAGTCTCTTAGTGTGTCCACGTTCTCTGCATTGTGACCTTCACAAGTGGTCCTTAGGTTTTCTCCTTCCTCCCCTCATGTAAGCCAAGCAGCCTAGAGGAGGCCGCAGTGGGGGAAATGCCCTTTGCTCAAGAGCTGAAGGTTAGGCCTTTGCTGGAGAGTTCGTACTTCTCAGGTAGTCGATGACAATGATAGTGACCTATGAACAACGGGTCTGAACCACGTGCCATCCTGTGCCACCCTCACGGCCATTGCTCCAGCCACTGTATCCATCTATCATGTTCAGGGTTTTTCTCTCTTTCTCTGACTCTCCACCTGTCCCATGAGGGGTGCCCTGGGCATCTATAGCAATGACTGTTCCTCTTCTCCATCTGCCAGAAGCCCTACATAACCTTCTCAGCCCTTTACCACTGGTATTGCCACTGCCAACCCTCGAACATCTGAACATTCCTCTAAAGATTACCTCACCCCTCAGGGATTTCTTACTGTCAGAACAGCCCATATCGGACTCTGGGGGCTTTGTAAAAATTGTAATTTAAATGTTTCTACCAGTTACAACTGCAGTGTCTTCTGCTCCAACTGGGGAGGCAGGTCTTTTATATACGTCTCTGGACTTGGCTGTCTCTTCAGACTTTAGGCTGATGCCTTCACTCCCAGTTCTCTGCTGATTCCAGCAAAAGCTGCCGAGTTTCAGTTTGTCTAGGCTGGGCTCTTTGTTAGGAAGGGAAAAACCACTCCCAAGCTCTTTAAATATTGGGGCTGAAGCCTAAAGTGTTGGCTAAAAACTTATTAAAAGCTGGCTTAGTTTCTGT